AGAAACAGTCTCTAAGTACTTTACGGTCCCACTCACCTAGTGGCATCGACATCACCATTATCTTACAAGTTGCACTTTGTATACTCAAAGACCCTTGGCTTCTGGGAACCTTCTTCGCATTACAATTTGGAGCAAAGGAGAGTCCTGAAGTACTACGTTAGTGTAATCACCCCACCCTTAATACGTCATACACCAGTTCTACAAGTCTACAACCTTACCCAGGGATGAAGCGATAAATGCTGGGAAAAATCTGATCTTAAATGTCCGGATTCACTAGAAACTCCTTTTATTTGATGAAAGTATGAGTATGATTATCCTCTATTAAAATAGTTAAGATTAGAAGCCTTCTTGATTTGCTCAAGCTATATATTAGCTTATAGGAAGAATCAGCTTAGGGAAGATCTCCTCCTAACAAAACTAGAGACACTGTGCTTCCAATTTCTCCATCCTCCCTCTAAATCCATCTGTCTCTAATGTCCCTCTAATTACATAAACACCTACATGAAAATGTTCCCTTTATTTGAGAAAGACACTCTCGAAGCTAGAGGTTTCCATCTGTTTCTTCCCCATGGCCTTATATGATTTCTATCAAAATGTTTATCAGTCCTGCTTGGCTAGGGAAAGGAAAGAATTCCATTTCCACTGCAAACAAACCTCATCATCCTGAATATACTCTATATTTGAATTTTTCACTGCCATTTGGACACACAAGAAGTACAGTTTCAACCAAGACCTTAATTCCTCTCTTGGGAATGAGTACAGAAAATATGGTTTTTCTGAAGAAATAAAATGCAATAGTTAAAAAAGTTTATCACATTAATTTTATATCAGAATAAAAAAATTACATCAGCCCAATTACACATATAAAAAAAAGAGATTTGTCTGCATTCACAATTTGACACACCTGTATTAAGGACCTACTTATGGTTCTTATTCAGTGGAACAAATGTGTTACTTTTCTAATACTCTTAAAATCTGGTGATCTGGTCTTATAGCCCTCAAATGAATGGACTAGTTTATATGTGGCACTGGTTTCTCTCCTTTCTTTTCTTCTTTTACTTTCTTCCTTTCCTTCCTTCCCTTCCCTTCCCTTCTTCCCTTCCTTTCCCTTCCCTTCCCTTCCTTTCCCTTCCCTTCCCTTCCTTTCCTTTCCTTTCATTCCTTTTTCTTTTTCTCTTTTCTTTTCTTTCTTTTTCTTTCCTTTCTTTTTCTTTGTTTTTTTTTTTCTTTCTTTCTCTTTCTTTCTTTTTGAGGGTGGGAGGGTTCTGTTAAGTCCCTGAAATTGTATAAACTTTCTTTCTTTCTTTCTTTCTTTTCTTTCTTTTTCTTTCTTTCTTTCTTTCTTTCTTTCTTTCTTTCTTTCTTTCTTTCTTTCTTTCTTTCTTTCTTTCTTTTTCTTTTTCTTTTTCTTTCTTTTTTTCTTTCCTTTCTTCTTTCTTTCCTTTCTTCTTTCTTTTCTCTTTTTCTTTTCTTCCTCTCTCTCTTCCTTTTTTTTTCTTTTTTGAAAATATTAAGAACAATTTTTGTTAAAACTTTTCCAGTGACTTTTCCATTGACTGCACACAAAAAACTGAACCTTTGGAGTAGTTGCTTCACTTCCAAGTTAGGACCCTAACAGGCTGAGTCTCTTATTAGTCTATTGACCCCACTAATCTTCATGGCAACCACACCTTCACACATCAGGTGAACAAGCATGGATCATAAGAGGAGAGATGGCAGGGCATCTGAGATTTGAGTCTCTTCACTTAAAATGGCTAATATATATCGTATGGCTATTTCTCCATATTAATTATGGAGAAAATTAATAAATATTTGACAAATTTGGAGAATGTAGAAAATTTAGATCATATCAAATACTATTTATCATAATCTGAATGTTCCAGAATGATTGCTTATATTTGATGAAATCAACAAAATTACAACATATCTTTTCTCTTCTGTGTTAATATAAACCTTACAAATTATTAACAGTATTTATTTAAATGCTGAAGCCTCTTTGTATGGCATGAGAATAAGACCAAGATTTGACTGAGTTAATTTTTGTTAGTTTTTGATTTTGTTTGAAAATATTTGCCAACCCTCTCAATTAAAATTGTAGCAGTGTTTTCTTGCATTTCCACCTCACAGAGGCCCAGATTCCCTTGAGGATCTGAAATAGCTTAATGCTAATTCCAGCTCCTACCCCGATGAGAGTCTTAGCAAGGAGATGTACCCCACTCACCAAGAGAGCATGTTCCACCTGGGTTTGATTCTGAATAGTTCAGGGGGAATGCGGCCCTCTGGACCATGAACATATTCACGACTGGCAGGAGAGGTTGTGCATTACTGCCTCAGGCCTGCCTCAGCACAGTAAGTGTTAGAAGGGTTGATAGCTTCCCTGCTAAAGGCAAAGCTTATGAGATACTCATTGCTATTTATAGGAAGATATGGTACAACAGGTAATTAGTCCTCTATTGATGAAACCCTTAACGTTCCCATTCTCCTTTCAAGAATCAGCTCCTCTTATCAGGAATTTCCAGCAGACAGCATTTATGTAAGAGTTTAGAGAAAGCAGAGGAAGAATATGTGGGTTGGCTCAGATAGATCATGAACTCTAGAGCTAGAGGTGGTTGGGAGTCTGGGCATTGCTTCAGGGAAATACATGTGTCTCTATCTTATAAATTACTTTGTTGGTTTGAGAGACCAGAGAGGGGGAGTCAGACTTTCATTTTTGTGTGTGTGAAGAGATCCCTTTTCATTCATTCTCTGACTGGGCATACATCTATTAACTGCTATGTATCAGGATTTGCACTTGGTACTGAAAGTAAGATTAAGAAGACACACTATTTGTCTTTAGAAGAAATACAAGGTAGGTTGTTAACTACTTGAATGAGTGCAATAAGGGAGATCTATACAAAGCATTATGGGATTGCAGAGGTCTGAACAACATGCTTTGCCTAGAAGAATCAGAGGGAGGGGTACTTTGAAGAGGTAATCTTTGTTAAATATTTAAAGACAAATAGAAAAGTTTACAAGGAAGAGGGGCCAAAGGAAGGAAGCATTTTAGGCAGAGAATGTTACATGACTGAAGGTACTGATGCCAAGAAGGTGGATATGTTCAGGATACAGTGAAGGGGAAGTTAGAACACTGGAAGGATTGGTGATGATTGGTAGTAAGGTGTGAGATGGTGAGAGGAGCTCAAAATATGAAAATGCAGGCAAGGCCAGAAGTCAAAGGGGCACACTAAAAAATGTAGCAAAGCTAACTGACACACTCAACAAAGTGCTAAAAGTCTTACAGGGTTTGCAGCTTACTTACAAATCTACAATGGCTGCCAGTCAGCTCTTCCAGTCTGGAGAAAACTGTAGTTTTGTAAGAAAATCATCTCACTATTCTATCCTTAAAGTATCATTTTATATCTATTAGCTAAGGTAAAATACAATCTCAGAAAAATGTACCCATACTGTGGCCGCTGGTGTAGCTTTAAAAAATACAGGTTATGAAACCCATACGATGTTAGGCTATTTCCTTTTCCAGATGTGATCTTGGAGATGTTTATAAGCAAAAAATAGCAAAATGGACAGTTCCAAAAGGATTGTACATTTTTCTCAAAGTTTAGAGCACCTACCAATGAGGTTTGGTAAAAGCAGACTGGAAAATAGAAGCTTGTCTATGTCTTTGTGTCAATAAAAAGTCTGTAAAAGACTGGGATGGCTCAAAAATCCTCTTCTTCTGGCTACAGAAGTACACTATTTAAAAATTTGGGTTACTTTGGAAAAGGTTTATCTATTTGCTTTTAGACACTTAAAAGATGATATCTTAAGTGCAGCAGCACTTCCCTGGGGCTGGAATCTATAAGATTTGAATTGTAGTTCCAATCATTCTGCTACCAACTAGAGTATATTAATTCTGGTCTTTTAAAGCAGGGGTCTTTAACTTACCTATGAAGATGGCATTTTAAAATGTTGTAAATATTATTGTACCATTTAGAGAAACAAAATAAATTAATGCTAAATGATGCTAATAGATAAATTCCTCCACCAACCCTTACAAGGTGCTAGTGTTGATACTTCTCTAAGTTCTATGGAATAAATGAAAAATGGCATGCTCAATAACAAATATTTAAAACCCATTTTCTGTAACCAAACAGGTCATAGGTTAGTGATATCAGCGGTAGGACAAAATTTTCAAAATTATTTTTGTTGAGATTCCCACATTAACAAGCTTTAAGTAGAACTTTGCATAGCATGGGTGATTATAATCTGCTTTGATTATTGAAGACTCTCCATATTAAAATCATTAGTAGTACCTTATTGTCAAGAATTACTGATGATTCTCTTTAAAATTCCTCTTAGATAATTTAATACTGGACGCGCTTGTTATGTTTTACCATATAAATCAATAAACAAAGCATGGTTGTGCATTTCTGAATCTGATGACAGTAGCTACATATATAGCAAGATGTAACTTTTCAACATTTTAATATTGTAGAAAAGCTGGACATATTTCTATTGGATATTTTTTAGGTAATGTTTATAAACATGTCGGAAAAGCTGTAAATTTTTCAGATTATAATAGGCCTCTTTTGTTGCCAGAAAATAGAAACTCATCTTTGGGAAATGCTTTTCTTCTGAACTATCATTAATAATATGTTTGTAAAAATAAAAATTTCCAGACCATCAGTTTTTTTTAATTGGACTTTATTACTTATTACATATGTATATTGCTTATGATTTTCAACTACTTGTTACCTATAGAGTAAAAATTTATATATGTATGTGTGTACTCACACACATTTATTTTTGAAGGATGAAAGACCTTATTTCTTTTATATAAAATAACAGTGAAACTTAAATAAAAACCTAATAAAATCTTATCTTAAAACAAGTATATACCAAATCACTTTATTTTTGAACATTGTACGAACTCTTTTCCACTTTAAAAATCTAGTGATCATTCCAGTTACATACCAAATAACAGAATCAAGACTAGGTAGGACAGGCTGATTATCTTTTCGAGCTATGCTCAATTGCCCTGTCTCTAAATACACTAACTTGCTGGCCTTTTTTTTTTTTGGTTTTGTTTTGTTCATGTTTCTGAGAAGGGCAAAGTAATCTTGGAAATTTATTGCTATTTTCATGACTAGAGACTTTTATGTTTATAAAAAACCTAAAAGCCAGAGAAACCCAAAAAATAACAGTCATTTCAAACCAGAGATAATGCATTTTTCTCATTTATTCAAATTCACTGCAGGAAGTAAACACTAAAAGATTAAAAAAAAAGACAAAAAAAATTCACACTGCAGTATGTACAGTTTCATGACATCACATGAAGAAATTAAGTTTCTAATAAAAATGACAAATTATATTACTGATATCACATCAAAATTGGTTGTGTAAACCCCAGAATTCATACCATGAATGGTAATGTGCCTGTATTCCAGTATGCTGGAATACTCCTGTTATATTGTTTCCAATGGGATTAAAAAATTCATGAAAGTAGTTGTGTGAACTCTTTATGTCGAAAAGTGGTTGACTTGATTTTAAAAAGTTTTAAGACCCTTGGACTCAAAGCACATCCTTTCACAAAGCTTAAACCACGGAAGTCATGTCCAGGAATGGAATACTGTCATGTTGGGATGAACATCCGATTTGACTTAAGACAGTTTGCCAAATGCACAGATGCACAGGGTCCCCCATGCACTTTTCATGCAGCAGGTAATCACAACTTAAATAAAAGGTTTATTCTATACATTTGTCCAGACTTGCAACTGTATACATGCACAATTTTTAAACCTGTCTGATTATATTTACACTTATACATGGAATATACAGAAACCAAAGAGATTAAAAGGCTTTTCTGTTGCATTGGAACAATACAAAATATGTATTTTTCATTAAAGAAATCACTATTTACATCACCTTTAAAAACTGATTTTAACATCTTCATGTAACAAGTCTATATATATATATATAAAATATATACTCTCACCAGTTTACTCTTCTGTAAGATGCAGCAGAGAATAAAGAGGTAACGCTACCTTACCGATGTCAATGAGAGCTGCAGTACCCTTTCACAAATGACTTCATTAGGAAGAGAATGTCCAGATATCTAAAATAGTCCTTGAAAATGGGTATATATGCATCCTTTTATCTACATATGCATTAAACAAAGTGAATTTATGGATGTATGTCCTTTCTCACTGCTCTTCTTCAAAATCATCCTAAACTCAAGCTGTGGACATGTTCTAGTAAATCAGAATAACATTGCGTGTGGTCATATTTATGTATGTATTATATACCCTCATTCCTTTAACAGTTAACAACAAAAACAACCAACCAACCAACCAAAGAAACAAGCAAAAAAACCCTCAACAAAACAAAACAAAACAAAAACAATGCTGGCCCTTGATGTTCCTTTCCCTGACCTAATTTGTAAAAGCTCATTTTTTGTAGTATACCTCAAAGGCTCCAGATTTTTCACAATGGCAGAAATGACTTGTTTAAAACCTTATTTATAGAGTGTAGACAATAAGATTGTCACAGAGTAAATATAGGATGGAGTAGAATATATTTACTGGTCAGTAGAATTTTCATTTCAGAATAAGCATATGCCGTCATCTCTCCATGATATAGCATAATATTCACTCCTATTATTTTATGATATATCCAATAACTATTAACAAATCATTTTGAGAAAAAAAATATAGTTTTTAGGTCATATTAGGAAATAACACCCATTTTTAATATAAAAATTTTAAAAATAACTTTGAGTAGAACAACTTCAAATAGATTTCCTTCTAATAGTTGATTATATAACAATTTTCGATAGGTCAGTTGCCAATCTGGTTCATGATTAAAAACAAAAATATCCGGAGAATGAATTGTGGATTACAAAAACTAAACTTAAAAACACGGACTTTATTTCCAGATTGGAACCACATGTGGCTCAATAATATGTTAAGTTCTTCCAAGACAACATCAATGTTTACTTTTAACCACTATTTTAAAATACTAGATCAATGAAGTGACTGCGTACAATTATACTGTCACGTATATGTACCCTTTGAACTTTTCTGTTTAGTTGATCTGAGTTTAGTGCCTTTCTTGAGTTTGAAATAAATGTTTTCATCTTTTCAGCACTGTTATTAGGACAATGATTTTAAAAGAAGTTAAGGATGTATTCAGGAGAAGTTTCCAAACCACCCTGGAATCACCTGAGTTTGATAAGTGGCCCTGTTTTTCCATCCCTAAGGCTAATTAAGTAGATGTTACTCATTAGAACACATAATAATCACAGATTTTCCTGAGATGTTGAGCCAGATATGAAAGTTGTCCCCTTCACCCAATTTTTTTGTCATAAAAAGTGTTCTGAACCTGATATCCAAAGATATAACGGTAATATATGAACTACAATATTGCAAATATTTAGTTGATGTGTGGCTGTATTGGGGAAAATATAGGCATCAAATAGTTTTTTTACAGTCCTGTGTTCTGAGAAAAGTTATAAGCGATAGTTCCGAAACTTCAGTGTGTAGAAGGAACACCTAGGGAGTTTCTTATTAAATGTGTTAAGATGCAGATGGAAGATTCCCAGGTCCACTTTGCAGAGATTCTTCTCTGTAGAGCTGAGATGCTGCCTAGGAATCTGCATTTTAAAACAAGTGCTCCAGATGTTTCTAATACATGTGGTCTGAGTCCAGCTTTAAGAAAGCCTGGTCATGAGACTCATAGGTACCACAGTAAAGGTGAGAAATAACTTACAAGAGATGGTGAAAACTGTCCAAAGAAAAGCCATTTTGCTTCTGTTAAAAACAACTTAAGTATTCGACTATTCAGGAAACCATCTGAAGATAAATGTTAACTTTCCTAATTCTGTAAAAGGAGGAATATTAATTTAACAAAGTAGTTACAATACAAAAATGGAAATCTACCTTTTTTTTTAAGGGTCTATCAAATGTCCGTCAATTGTAATCAATTTTTACTAAGTAGTACAAGGTTTAATGAAAGATATTGAAAAGGACTGGGGTGGAACGGACACATTGGGAACCACAAAACCCTTTCCAAGAGTTAAAAATAAATATGCTTTTTAGCAAAAGTGAAAAATGTAAGCATATTTTTTTCTAATTTATTTTTGAATTGGATAATGAAAAATGAATCGGCACTAGGACCTTTATTCATAAATTACCCTTTAAAGAGTTATTTAACAATTTGGACTTTAAAAAAATGTGTTACATAGGCTGACTTCTGAAAAGCAAAATAAATTACCCTAATAAAGGCAGCAAAATGCATTAATCCACTATGGATGGAAATTTACATTTTAATTTATGCCTATTATCTGTGTTTATAAAGAATTTCATTCATAGGCTACTCACAGTTGTCTGATGCATACAGAAGTGTTAAACAACCAGTTGCTAGTTCAGTAGTTTCCTCATGACATCTAACGTAAAGCAAAAAGTAGTATGCATATTTAAACATCACCAGTAACCAATACTTTTCAAAATGAAAAAAGTTTCAATTATACCATGCTTTTCTCAAATCATGCTCTTATTTATACAGATCTCAAGTTCATACTAATTAGTTTTAAAAAGATCAAAGCTGAATGGCAGGTATATTTTATTCTGATTCCTTTTTTATTGTTAGCACATTTCCCACAAGTCCATAAACTTCTCCATTTGCACTGTGTGGGCAAGAGGCATTATTTCCCATATGGCTATTATAAGGGCTTCTTAAATTAAAGAAAGAAGCTTTAGTTTCTACAGCAGGAAGTAACTCTTCTTTGATTGTAACCTGTGAGACACTTTCAGCAGATGAAGGCTCCCTCCAAATGTCCTTATCCTGTGTTTCTCGACTGGTAACAGAATTGCCTCCTTTCTGGAGCATGTAATACAGTATCGGGTTAGTTTTGGTCAGTCTTGGAGAATCTTTTTCATACTCATTCTTATCCACATCTGTGATAACCCACTTAATAGGTCCCTTCTCACTGGGCATGGAACATCCATTCAGAAGCCCAGATTCTGATCTAGAAACTACACTACCCAAGTGCTCAGGAAAAGGAGGACTCGCGGGAGTTTTTACTGCTGGGTATGGAAATGTCCTGTTATCCATGCAACTGTTGGGCTGAGTGGAACTGTACATCAGTCCATTTAAAGAAGAAATGCTGAATTCAGGTTTGCTACTGGGCACATTATTTTTGTGTCCTTTCTTTTTACTCTCGACGACAGAGTTACTCCTGTGCTGAGACAAATCTCTCACACAGTTTTCTGAGAGAAGCAGCTGTTTCAGAACATTGAAGCTTTTGCTCTCTCTGGCCCAATTCCTATGTTCACTTTCACTAGCTGAACCATGGCTGGCAGGATATTTAAATTCAAGATCATTTCTGCTAAATTTCAGCTCTTGCTGGTTTATCAAGGACCCATACAGTACCTCTGAAGCACTGTGACTGTTTGCAGCATCAACTATGTGACTTTTCCTCTTTTTAAATGGATTTTCTAATGGCTCAGTATAAAGCTTCCTTTTTTTAGGGACCATACAAAGATTCTTTGATTCCAGGAGTGTCAGTTCACTATTTCTGTGACTGTTGTTCAGATCATCTTCCAGGTGACTCTCTTGATTTTGTCTCAGCAATCGACTTAATAGACCATTTTTTGAGAAAGAAAAATCCTGAGGTGAAACAGGTTCCGATTTAAAGTCCTCGGAAGCTGGTAAGGCAGCTGCGCTTCTTTGCACTGGAGGAGCCATACCTAAGAATGGGGCACCCTTAGCATCATGGCCCAAGTGCACACTTGTATTATGAACACGTAAGTCATCACAAGGCTCAGATTTTATTTTTACCATCAATATTTGTTCACTTAAAGCTCTATCTGTATGTTCCTGAGTACTCTCATCTCTTAAAGGAATTTTCTCTTTCTTTTCACTCTTCCCTTTGTTGGGGTTTCCCAGGAGCAACTGGAGGACAGTGCGCCTTTCGAGCAGATTTTCTATTTCAGAACCAGAAAGTCTTGCTTCAGAACCTGTTGCTTGACTATTGAATGCTTTGTTTTCTTCAACTGCATTTGTTTTATTTGGGAGCAGAGGGCTACTTAATCTATCGATCATACCTATAGGTTTATCTGTATTTACAGTTGGCAGTTGTTTACTGGGTCTCTGCTCTTCTCCTGAAGTAGAAGACTGCATTCCACACTGTGCTAAATTTTGTAACAGTTTACTGGCACTGAAAGTTGCAGAGTTTTGTGCATCTTCATTTTGGACTGGTTTCTCTCCTTGTGATTCTTTGCTTTTCGTAAGGTCCATTAAGTGGTTAGATGTGATATTTGTTGGCTTTTCAGACTGAGTGCCACAGGTGTATGGTGAATTCCATCTGATGACCAGAGAGTGCTGGGAAAGATTGATGGGAGACTCTGCTTTGGTGGATGCAAGTAATGGTGGAGTGCTCACTGGAGTAGTCCTATGTGTACTGGGACTTTCTATCACAGAAGTCCTCATATAAGTCTGTGTATTAAACTTTGTCACATCACTCTGTATTTCCTGAGGGCTGCTGTTTCCTTCTACATTGTCTTCATTCTTATGGCCAAGTAGCAACTGAAGAAGTGTTACTTTCTGGTGTGAATTTAGCTTAGAATTCTTTGAGGTATGTTGATCTTCTTTGATATCTACATCGGGGACTTTTGGATCCCAAGTGTTCAGCAAGGACTGAGTTAAGTTATCCAGAGAAACGGGCTGGTCCGGTTCTGGTTTTTCAATTCTGTGTTTGCAAGACAAGTCTATGGGAACACAGTTGGAGTAAGAACTTTCATCACCACTGCTATCATCTGTAAAACTAGGATTGTTATCTGAGTATTCATCAATAGTTGTAGGTGTACTACTATCCTCAAAAATGCTTCCTCTCTCACTGTGATTGTGTCCATTCATTGGCTTAGGTATGGTCTGGCTTTTAAGAAGATGTAAAAGCAAACTATTATTAGCAGCTTGTTTTACGTTGTTTCTTTCCTGTGAGTTCTTACAGCTTGCATTTTTGGGGGAAGAAGAAACGATACCCATTGGATTCTGAAATGCTGCACTTTTGCTAGCCATTAGTTTGCTTGATGATGTTCTTGCCTGACCATTAAGATGGCCTGACATTCCTTTTGAGAGCTGGAAACTGCCAACATCCTTCTGGCCATTTTCTTGTAATCTGGCCATAGCAGCAAGTCTTTCACTTGCCGCTTGATTCGCATTTTGTGTTTTTAAAGCATGTTCTCGAGAATACTGCTGTAAATGGGCTTCGCTTGAAAGGAGTAATGCTAATTGACTACAAGCAACACTAGGTTTGGGTGAAGTGGCAGGACTAGCCCTTTTTTCCACCATGCTTGCAACAGCTTGTAATCTTGCAGCACATGACAAGGGTTCGCTCATGACCTTTGTTCCACTTTGTCCAACATGGTGAGGTGACTCTACAAACCTATCTCTGATGAGGTTTTTAGTTACGTCAGGAAGATTGGTATCAGGCTTTTGATCTTTAGCTTTACTTTTCTTCAACAAAGTTTTTAAGTGACTTGATGCAACACCGTAGCACCTTAAATCTTTCTCCACTTTTAAAGAATCATGACTGAGGGCATATCCTTGCTCCTTGAGGCTCTGCCTAATTTGTTGTGACAGAGCAACAGTCTGCAGCCTGGAGCTGAATGACTGAAGCAAAGAGGCCAGTAATGTGCTATCCTGTTTGCCTTTAGGCACACTGTCGACCATGCCAGCTAGCAAAGCTTCCTTCTTTACGTTTAAATTTACGATGGAATCAGACAGCCTCTTCCGCTTCGCTGCATTCCAGTCCTCAGAAGACTGCAATAGTCTGGCTTTTTTGAGATGCAGCACGCCAGATCCCTGATATGTATGTGTATTGAGAACTGGACCATTACTTTGACAGGTGGGAAATGCATTACCAGAAATGTTAAAGTTCTGATCTTCTTCATTACGCCCAGCAGACTTTTTGTCGACGGCAGTACCTGATCCCTCTGCTGCCTGATGCATTAGTAATCCTTCTAGGTAAGTTAAAACAATAGAATCCTGGTGCACATCAGAGCCAAGCTCTTCTCCATGAGTCATGTTCAATAGAAGTGTTCACAAGGGCTTGGTTTCTATTCGCTTTAAAGAATGGTTTTCTGTGGGTGAATGAGATGTAACTTTAAAAAGTGAGTGTCAGTTTATCACCTTCCATAGTAATTAGTGATGTAACTGTTACATTCCGACCAGGATTTCTTCTGGCAATGTAAAGATAAAAAGCAAGCAAACTCTAATGCAGTCTGATGACAGAGCTGATCAATTCCTAAGCAAGCAGCAGCAGAATTCCTTAGCCCATAGATCTGCAGCAGCAAGCAGGTATAATCCTTAGTGAATATCCTGTTTCTCCTTCATCTTTTTCCTCATTAAATGCAAATATCAGGGTTCTAAAAATATAAAAATAAAAAAACAGTTAAGGAGGTGCAGAACTAGAATTGTGCTATAATACATATAAACAAATACAGTATTTGTAAGTTTATGTGTATATATACATATATAATATACATATACATGCATTATAGTCATTTTTTAGTAATTATTGCCATTCTTATTAAATTGGAAATCTTTCTTGGAAATCTTATGAATTAATCCGTATTACAAAAACGATCAAATCAATTAGAGAAAATACTTTAATATTATATAACTGTCTTCCAATCCCCCTTCCCAAGTTTTTGAATTTTCATAAGTAGCTTTCTGCAAAGTAATGTGAATGCTAAGTCTTGTTTAATAGCAATATAGCTCTATAAGGGAGCTGGAATTAGCTTCCTTACATTACCGCGAGCTTAAGGAACAAAAGTGGAAGTGCAGAAAAAAGAAAAGAGATGCACATGACATGGACGCATCTGATGCATTTGATGTGTGATAGAAGTCTACAGAACAGATTCACTTCTGATATCATCCTCCAAATATCAGATATTCCATAAGTAATTGTTAGAATTCTGTTTTCAAAGAAATGAAAGCTAACAAGTGTAAGTTTATTTTGTAGGCCTGTGCAAAGTGTGACAGTCTTAGTCATATTCACATTTAAATATTAACCCATAATTTTTACCATGACATTAAAAACAGCAGAGAATGGTTCTTTAGATGCTCATTCAGATATATCAAAGGTTTAAAGTGTCCGCTTTTAAATTTTTACTTATGTGCTCTGTGTATAAATTTTAATGTGAGGTCCATTCCTATCAGATGCAAAGACAGGTTACAGATAAACCTGTAATCCTAAATTTCGAGGATATTCCTAATATAAACTATTCATCTCCCCACCTATGCTATTTCTTTTATGTGACTTGGTATCAATAACTATAAATACATTAAAATATTATCTGTGATTTGAAAAAATCTTTTAAAAAGGTATTAAAATAAAAATTATAATTTTAAAAAATGTTAGGGTACTTGTACCAATTTTTAATTTAGAATATATGGTTGCTATAATACATATAAATATAACCATGTGTATACACTGAGCTTATCACATTGCCCTGTATAAACATGGGCAAGAAACAAATTTAGAATAGATTTGAATGGCAAATAAATAAATGCTTCTAGAAAATTTTTTCTAAGTCAAGGTGGTTATTTTTCATTAATTTCTTTGAAAAGAAATTCTATAAACAGCACCAATTACATGGAGCAGTGAGAGGAAGAGTATCACATAAAACCTGGTTTTTAACATGATAAATCTGTAAATCAAAGATTATGTTTACTGAGACTGCTTCAGGTGCCACTCAATGGCAACAGCTACTACCATTCTAGGAGAAAAGCAAACATTTAGGAAAGAAGGAATTCTGAGACTTTTGAAGGCCAAAATTCACTCAGATCCGACAATTAAAAACTCTTCAGGAAAATGAGTGAGCCAAATTTCTTCAGATAACTTCCTTTCCTATCCCTTGAACAACTAAAGAGGAAGAAATCAATAACAATCTTTCCTATACCTTTTCTAAGTTTTGCCTTTTCATTTTTCTATAGTAAAGAATTTAATTGAGAAATTTAGGGAAAAAGGAGGCATGAGACTTGGATACAATACAGCTCATTGGGACCTACAGATATTACAGCATTATGAATATAAAATATTACCACCTAATAAATATACTTCATAAGGTTAAAATTGTTTAATTTTAAGTTAGTATTAGCCTGATTCATTTTCTTTTAGTAAAAAGACGGCCACATTATTTTTAATCACCAATATATAGTTCACATGCTTGACTTTAAATACATGTTACTTAAGAATGTTGCCTGGTGTTCAGCACTACTTAAGTATATTCAGTTAAAAATATCTAAATGTCAACACATATTTAAGAATTTGGCTTCTTCTATACCCAATCTATAATGTACACCCACGCAGCATTACTGACAACAGTCAAGATATAGAAACAACCCAAATGTCTATCAATGAATAAACAGATAAAAAAGATGTGAATTTAATATAAAATGGGATTATTCAGCCATGAGAAATGAGGCTATCCTGCCATTTGCAACAACATGGATGAACCTTGAGCATGTTATGCTAAATGAGATAAGTCAGAGAGAGAAAGATAAGTACTGTACAGTATGACTTATATGTGGAATCTAAAAAAGTTGACCTATAAAAAACATAATGAAATGGAGTTACCAGGGGCTGGGGAATGAGGGAATAAGACTGATGGTGTTTAAGGGTACAAACTTGTAAGGAGTAGTTAATAAACCATAAAGAGCTAATGCACAGTATAATGAATATAGATAATAATATTGTACTATGATGATGTAATGTGATAAATATTGCTTCAATGGCAATTATATTGCAATATATAAATGTATCAAAGTAACAGGCTGCACGCTTTAAATTTATAAAATGTGACATGTTAAATTTATCATCAGATAAAAAAGTAAAAAATAAAAAATAATTAGGGTTCTTTAGATTCACAAACAATATATTCTAAAACTGGAATATTTCATGAAACATTATGATTCATTAGCCTGTCAGTGTACCTATTGGCTTGTCTGTAACTTCAATGGTAACTTTATTAGAGTTTGTGTACATGTCTATTTAAAGATACTCAATATTCTCTTTATTCTTGTAAATAGAATCTTGAGAGACTCTACTTGCATGGCATATACTTGTTAAGAGACTTCTGTGTAAAGGGAACAGAATTATTCATAACATTTGGTTTATGGAAGGTAAGAGTAACCAAAGAGAGTAAAAGTAAGGAGGGGGGGGCAGGAAAAAAAAGAAAAAAAATTCAAATAAATACCTCACAAATTTTGCAACTCTCATGAGGCTTTAGAAGGAAAAATTTAGCTTAGCAACTAAAACAGATTATATTAATATCCTGTCTTTAAACAAGCAAAGGAAAGACAGATTTCTTTAATGAATAATAAAAATACATTTCTTGAAAAATGATACAGTATTAATGGGCTATGTAATTAAGAAAGCTGATAATGATGACTTTATGTCATTATCCTTCTAGGCAATTACATTATTTTCCTTTTGGCTTATTATTTTGGTCTTTATTTGGCATAGCTGGAAATGAATTAATTTCCAAGATAAAATGGCAAAATGCTTAAAGATATAAAAAAAGATCACTAAGATTCCACAATATATTTTTGATTATAAAAGGCTTCAGGGGACACATATGGTAACAGCAAGATATATGTGTTTTCTATTAAAGACACATTCATCAAAACTTTTAAAAAATGAATAAAAGTCATGTAATATAGTCCTTCCTACTGGTTATATGTATAATTTTATATATATTACTTATAATTATATAAAAACTTCAAAAACTAAAACTGGGTCCAAAGAACTCAGACAGTATACAAAGGATTAATGCATTTCATGACAATTTAATAAAATTCATGTTTAATTACTGTACAATGTTAAAATTATAAATGAATCTTCCTTTTATTAATTTGAAATTATTTATAAGCATTAAAACAATCTTTTAAATTTTATAAAATTGAGATTTTCCTGGTCCACTAGCATGTAGTGAAAAAAAAAAAAACTACTATAATGGCAAGGCAGAATTATTTTAAAAAAATAACAATCAAACTAAACCATGAAAGAATTCCTTGTAGGAATCTTGACCATATGCATTAACAGATTATGGGAAAGATCCAAGTTTTGACATAAAGACTAGTTTAATAAAATATCTAGTAAAATGCTTGAATTCAGTGTATTTTTTAAAAAGCTACATTTTCTTTTCTTTAAATACCTGAAAAATATAAAGTTAGTTGAAGTAGAACTTTTTTTAGGCTTTAATCAATAAAAGACAGTTGTAAATAACTCACATATGAAAAGTTCCCAAGTGGGTGTTATATTCATTCTCTGAAGTAAACTATTTCCATTGCAATGTATTTTATACTTTCTATCTGGAAACGGTTTATTTAGCAAAGGGAAAGTCTGCTGAATTTTTAAATGTTTTTTAAAATGGTAAAGTCAAAGTAATAAAATTTTGGATAAATGAAGGATGCAGCTAATAGGATTCTTCTATGTGGGACTACTTTTGATTGAGAATAGATAAATAATGAGAAAGGTCTTTCTTCAGCTGTTTTTAAGAAAAGGATTCAGTATCTTACTTGCAATCAAATTCCCCATTAAAACACAGTTCAATGATTAAGCATCTATGAAGTCATTCTGTATGCTAAATTATGTCTAATGAATACCTCATGTCTTCTAATTGTTTCCATGAACTCTCCTCCAATTTCTTTTGCATTATCAAGTAATACTAGTTTGAGTATTGAATTTAAAAGTGCTGCTTTAATAAGCATTTGGATTCTTGGCTTTGGTTCCTCAAAATGCAGAAGTGACTAAAAGGCTACTTAATTGTGGCATTCAAGAATAACTCCTATTGAAAAATATTATCTAAATTCCACTGTTGATTATTTTGGGGATGTTGTTTATATAACAGGATAAGAAAAACATTAAGATGTTTCATTAAGGATTAGAAGAAACATATCTCAGTACAAAGTCCTAATTATTGATCCTTTTATTTAAGCAATAAAAATCCAGGTAAATAATTGAGAGAACTCTTGGTGTTCTCTAAGATGAGACTCTAAAAGAAAATCTTAAAAGCTGAACAAAAAACAAAAACCCAAGAACAATTTATCAAGAAGATATAACACCAAACATTTTATCCAAATGAGTAAGATTAGCTTTCTAAATCAAGGGCCAATGAAGAATTAGAATACATAAATCTGAACACTTGACTTCACAGAACAAGATAGGAAAAGTTACATTTCAGATAAGGGTCCTGGGGATTCACTGAAAAGTGAAGACTCCAGAGAATCTTCTTTATAAATTTAGTTTTTAAAAAAAATTAAGAAAAAGAATAAAAGAAACATTCGATTGCTACCATTTCACAGCAGAAAATAATAACTACATAGTAGGAAAGTAGGCCTGAAATTTCATTTATTAGATAATATTTCTAATTTTGGGGGGGAAAAAAGGAATCAAAATTAGTCTATATCCTTGGACATAATTTGAATTCCAAGGTAACAACTTTCTTTGTAGTAGTATCTTTATCAAAAGATGGATGTGTGGTTGTACAATTTGATGAGTGCCAAGAAAACAAATTTATCTAAAAACATTTTGCTCAACTGAGGGCCTCGACATTTGAAATTAGACCATAAGAGCTTCTTGCCCTCTCCCAGGGGTCCTCATTTTAGATGTAAGTAGTCTTCAGAGATTGGTAACAGAAACCACTGAAACTGTAGTGAGTAAAACAGCTGCCCAGACTGTTCTTCACTGCAACCTGAGGGACGTATATATATTTGCCAAAGGCCATATTTGCTCCTAACTTCCAGGTCCATCTGCTTTAATTTGCTCTTGGCTGCTTCCATCGGAGTAAAATAGTATCACTCACATTTCCTATTAAAAGGGACTCACGAGGACACACTAATGCTTGATTGACTCGAGTGTTCAACACAAGGACACATGTATCTGAAGACCTCTTCAATTCTAAAATTTTATTTCTACGATTCCAAGTAATTTGTCAAATTGTAGTTGATAAAAATGACATGTATTTTAACCAAAAAGATGATATGCTGTCAAAAATATCATCTTTGTGGAAACAGCCATGACCAATATGCATTAGTCTTTTTCGTGAATTCCAGGGTAAGGAAATGATTTTGAAATAGCCATACCCTTTACCCGTCCAATCCTCAAAAGTTATTTATCTTCACTACTTTCTTCAATGGGGTCACAGAATTTCAAACAGATGTTTATTTATAAGCTAAATACATACTCAAACTGGAGCTTTTGCTTATCTAACAATGGCTATATACCAAATAAAATGCAATAGTAAAGATTTAGGATCCCTAATTACATAAATTCATGAGAGAGGTGAAATAATTGTCTTGGTGATAGATACAAATACCCTCTATAATTGATAAAGTGAATTGATAAGAGTTTCTTTGTTCCAAATTATCCTCAGAAGGCTTATGTATGTAAATTAGGTTCAATAAAATTCACCATTCATTTTACTCTGCCTATACAATTTATAAAAAATTAATTTTAAATCAAAATTAAGATAAAAAAGTTGGAGACTGTAAGTTAAAAAGATACACAGACACAAAGGTTACCTAGAAAAGAACTTAACTGCCAATTTTTATTCCAAAAAATGCAATACTTTCCTAGATGCTGGGTTGCATTATCTTGAAAACATAGAAAACTAGAAATTGTTAAATAAAATTAATTCTAACTATAATTAAACAAACTTAGGAACATAATTGTATGATAAAGAACACACATGATATTTATTTAGCATTAATATTAATGGTTTCACTGTCTTTTACTGTTCTCAAAGACAGTAAATGTTCTCTGAAGAAACATAATCATTAACAAATTATTTTGGTAGCACATAAGTGTGAAAAAAGGTTAAAATATAAAATGAACAGAGTATAGCTTAACCTAACCTTTTCTGACAGCTCTTCATAGTAACTAGTGTTTTCTATCAGTTTTGAAAGCATAATATTTTCTAATCTTTATTAAAATATAAAATATAATGGAAAACTGTGTGTGTGTGTGTGTGTGTGTGTGTGTGTGTGTGTGTATACATACACACACACCCTTGTGAGAGGGGCATAAATATCCTGTTACTCAACTATGGTTGTGTGTGTGTGTGTGTGTGTGTGTGTGTGTGTGTGTGTGTCTCTACACATACACACAATCCTTTGAGATTGGGGCATAAATCCTGTTAAACTCAACTATGGTCTCCCCATCCCTAAAAATAGATTTGACATACAGACACAAGCACAAGGTCAAGGTCACAGATCAGTAAGAAAGATTACCAACAGAACTGATGTAACAGCTGGCATTTGATCAAAGCTCCTGGGGTTTCTGGTACACTTACTAGACACTGCATTTACTCACAGGGTACACTCTGTTTTAAAAATGTTCCCCATCTTTGAAGAAAAGATCTTCATGAACTTTTTGTTACAAAGCACATTCTGCTAAAAATGTTGCATTGGATCCTAGAATAAGAGAAAAAAACAGGCGTGTGTTTCAGAATCATGAGTTTTTACATGTGTGTATGTATATGTATGTATGCTTACATATTTATTTATTTGTTTGTCATAACAGATCACTGCTATGTGACAATTCTGAAATTAACTTGCAGGTCCCTGAATCAACTAAGCTTGCCCGCACCACCAAACCTTTGTACCAGCTGAAATGAAAATTAATTATACATTCCTCAGTATCTTGGGCCATTTCACAGATTGAATACACAGATTTAACTGCTAAAAATTGGTTCGACCAGGGAAGTTTTACAATGTATTCACAGTCTCCCATGATACTTTCCAAAGTATACCTATAAGAACAAACTTTGGTTATCAACTTCAGCAATAAAAGTGATTTTTAATGGAATATATTCTTGAACACTGCAATTATCTAACAAACCATGCCTTTGGTTTCAGCTGTTCAAACAAAATATTAAATTTATCTTAAATTAAATTTATAAAACTAAGAATTATGTGATGAATGTTCTTACTGAAGCAGTCTGATCAAGAAATCTTTTTTAAGGATGCATAATGCTATTGAGGTAAATTTATAATATAAAAACTTTCCTTGTTAAATCAAATACCACCTACTGCAGCTTTATATCATTTGCAAATTATGATACATGTGCATGTAAATGTTCTCAATTATCAATTTTTCATTTTGCAAAATTATCTTTTTGTGAATTAAACAGGTTTGAACAAAAATACTAAAATTGTACTATTGCAGAAAGACTGCTGGTTTCTCAATAACAAGGTAAAAATAATATATATATATATCATACATCAAAATATCAAAGCAAATACCACTGAAAACTGAATCTCCTTTACCAGGCAGAAAAAAGTGTGAGTCTATCAAAATTACTAGTAATGGACACTGATTTGTGTATCAAGCTTTGAACACAAAAATCTACAAACATTTTCTTTTAAAATAAATAGAATTCTTTATAAAACGTACTATTAAGGTCTATTTAGAGGAATCACTTATCAATTAATAACTACATTTTCTTTATATGCTGCCTGAGTGAAGTACAGCCTTGCTGTGAGTGAACCATGAATTTTAACTTAATTTTCTAGAAATGGTAAACATTATGATATCATTCTTGCCCGTAATGGCCCAGAACACAAAGCTTTCTAGATTGAAGATTTTAGTCATTCTGGCAGAGAAACAGCACTATAGACACAACACATGGAGAGATAAGCGTAGTGATGATATCCATCATTATGAAGTCAATAAACCTGACAAGGGATTAATTAACAAAAAACAATATGCATGATATACCTAGAGAATTTCTGTTTTTAACTATTCACAGGTAATATTAAAATATGTTCTTCAACTAGGAAGATAAAGCTAGTGACATACCATCAGTAGGCTATTTACTTTAAATGCTCTCATTTTTATTGAAGAAACTGCCACCTATACGCTTCCCTGACCTCTATTTTGCCCATCTGTACATATAAGCAAATGTCTGCAGTAATAATCTTAGTAACTGTAGCCAGTAATTGCCAATCTGAGACCTAGCTTTGCTGCTGTCCACATCTCAGGCATATTCAGTCTGTACAGTAGGGACAGCTTGCATGTGGCCCTTAACAGGGTGCATGACATTCAAACATAGATATACACTGTGGGGGGAGGGAGTATAAGGAGTCTTTAGAATAGATTCCTATGAGCTGGAGAAGAAACAAGAATAGCAATCTAGCTAACAAGGCTTTTCTGATTTATTAGACGAAAAATATTTCAGAACCATTTTTAACTTTATAATAAAGATCATTAAAAACAATTACTACTATCTATTATTAATATTATTTAATAAAGTTAAAACATTTTAACACCAAAAAATTAAATTCTTTAGCTTATGAGGATCTCAATCTATTATATACATTTTTTTTTGAGATAGAATGATGATATGTGGAATATCATCATTCTGTTTAGTAGTTTGTCCAACTTTAGTATCAATTACTTAAATTTTTACATTAATATTTCATACTGTTTATGTATTGCTTTGTTTTGATCCTTATCATGCTTTCAATTATAGCATTTATATAAAATAAATCCTTTGTTTTATATTCTTGTCATCACATGTGAGGATAAACTAAAAAATAACAGTGGGAGAAGTAATGTGTTATAGAATAAAGAGTAAAGAACCTTCTGCTTAGTGTCCCCCCATTAGCCCACACAATTCCTACTATCATCTTCATTTGATAAAATGTATAAGACTTAAAAATACATCACATAATGCATTTTTGAATCCTATAGTAAAGCCCCATTTGCCATATGACATCTCTTTATTCTGTAAGCGTTAGCTAAGGATTCACCCCGACTTGGGCAGCCTTATCTGAACGCCACAGGCTAAGGACAGTTTCTCATCTCTGGGACTTCACAGCGCTCAATAGATCTTTTGTTAACCTCATTACAAAATTATATTTTAGTTTATTTATGCCTAGCCCTCACCCAGAGTGTAAACTCCTTATGGGCAAGGATTACATCTTTGTCATCCTTATGTCTCAGCACCTGGCAGAGACAACATTCCCCATAAAACATGCAACGAGTCAACCTCTTGAAGCCTTAGTCTATAAAATGAGAGGTGTTACCTTAAGATTTAAAATGATAAGATAATGCTATTTGTAATGTTTGGTTTAACATTCAAGACATAAACTAACAAAAAAAATCACAAAATTAAAGAGTGATAAAATATTTTATCATACACCATATCAAGGTCTATGGAATTGGAAATCATGTGTGACTAGCGTCCTGTTAGAAAAAAAGGTTTAAACACTTAGAAATACATACGTAAATACATTGTGTGTGTA